CCCTCGGTTTACCTTTTCTACAGCTGCATGCACCTTTGTAGTTATTTATCTACCCCCAGACTGATTCATTGTAATATTGCATTCCTGTCTCTCTTTAGTATTAATATTTCCTTCTCATCCTCCTTTTCTTTCTGCTCAGCTCTACCCTCTTTCTTCCTTTCTCTTGCTCTTCAGATCATCTGCTTTTCCTTTTTTGTTGCCTTCTCACCCCCACTACCAATAAATTAAAAATAAATCCCAATCTGGGAAGCTTGGCCCTCCCCATAGAAATGATGTTTTACTATGAGCCCAGAAACACCCCCGCCCCATGTACTGGCTGCACTCTATGCTCAATCATGACTGTTGCTATAAATACAAAGGTTGCCCACTGCAGACGCAAGGATAAGGAGGGTTTATCTCTGAAATTAATGAGCAACTGAGCTCTGATCCCATAACAAAAAGCACTGATAGTAACAAAAATAATAATATTGACAGTAATTCCTAACATTTCTTAAGAGCTTGGTATGTAATGGGTCTTAAGCTAAACACTTTACAAATATTTTCCCATAAAATCCTCACCACAACCCTGTGAAGTAGATTCTATTATTATGCCCATTATACTGGTGAGGAAAACAAGATAGAGACACAGTGAGTGATACGGGTCACAGAGTAAGTGAGAGGCAGAGCCCCATTTCTCAATCCAGGCAGTCTGAGTCCAGACCACCCTCTTCACCGCTGGAGTTCACTGACCCTTCAACCGCAGGGTAGTCTTGAGGTCTTCGGGTTCCACCAGGGCTGGTGTATAATGCAAAGCCCTGGCTTGCCCTGCATGACTGGGTATAACCAGATGGGTGAACAAAGGCTGGGCCAGGTTGCCACAGACAGAGCAAGGTGATCTCAGGTACCCACAAGAAGGGGTTCTACTTGGGAGCAGAGAACAAAGTTGGAAGAATACAGCTACTTCAGTCCAAGTCAGTGAAAACTTTAAATAACAGGAGATCTGAGACCCAGAAAGGGCATCCTGGTGGATGGGCTGAGGTGGTATTCAGAAGGGAAGGACAGTACTTGGAAGTTCAGGAAAGGGGGCAGAGCATCACAGATGCCCAGTGTCGGCCAGCATGGCCCCAAACAGCCTGGAGTTTGGAGAGGGGGCCTCAGTCCATGGGGGAGGCAGTGGCAGATCAGGGCACAGCCTGAGTTCAGGGACAGTACCCAGTATTGGGAAGTGGGGCTCAGAAACAAGGACACGTCCAGTCATCAGACCAAAGACACCGTGTCCAGATGAGATGAGCAAAAAGGGTAACTTAACACTGAGGGAGAGGTACTAAATAGCCTTGGATATTACCTAAGGAGGTTGGACTTCAACCTATACCCCTGTGATCTCACCTGGGGAGCTGCTATAGATGCATGTGACACCATAAGCTGGGGTGACTTCATGTCTTCTTTCTAACAATCTCTCAAAAACCCATAGTATATAAATGATCTTTTATGCATAAAAGTGAATGGATGCAAGGTTAGCCCTAAAATAATGTCACCTTCACACTCTGACTTGCTTTCTTGAATGGGAAAATAAGAGATACAGCGCAGCCAGCATGTTTGCATACCCCTGGGGATGTTGTGTGAATGTCCCACGCATGTCTGTGTCAACTTACAGATCACGATTAAAAAAAGGCAGCAAATTGCCCTCACAGGCAATGGGGGAGTTGGTCTGAGGGTGTGCAGAGGTGAGGCAAAGCCCTTCTAAAATGTTTGGATTATATTGTTTTGTTTTATATTTGTGCATGTGTGTGTATATGTGTATATCCATTATAAACCTGAAAAGAAAAAAATGCGTTAAATTTGACTACCAGGTCATTTGTCCTATAATAAATTAAAAGGGACAGGGCATAGGGATAATATATTAACGTATTGTCACAGCCAGGAAAATTCAAGGCAATCTAACTGGCAGATACAAGAATTTAAAAAAGAAAAATAATAGTAGCCTGGGACCATTTAACGTGATCATAAAAAGGTTCATACACCTCTTAGAAATCATTATAATACAGCAAATGTTAGACTTTATGGGGCCAGTGGTGATGCTGAGACTTCCATTTAAGCTTAGAGTATTCCCATCACTCTCTGTTTAAGGAGGCAGGGAGCCAAGCAACATATTTTAGCAAGATTTTATCAAAAGTAGCTAACATTACAAGTGAAAGAAGGCATCGTTCTTACGTGCCTTTCCTTCCCGGCACTTACGCTGTAGTATGTTTTTTTATTTTATTCTCATGGAACCTCCCGAACTGTCTGCCCTGTGTGGGCAGGGACCATGTCTGTTGTGTCCGCTCCGGCTTCCCCAGGAGGCAAGTAACTTTCACTGAGATTCTCTTTCCTCAAGCCAGTGGAAGTCCTCATTCTGCTCTCACCTGCCGTGAAATGGGATATGGGAGGAGGTGGGGTCTTGCTCCGAGTCAGGCCTCGGAGATGCTTTTCACCGGGTCCCACTTCAAACTGAAGAACTCAATCCGCCGCCGTCTCCTCAGTTCCATCTGGCTGCCTAGAAATGTCTGCTTTGATTGCTGCTGGGAAGGAAAGCTTAAATTTTACTAGGAAACCCCAGCACTGCCTAAAACTTTTGGGGTTTCTTACAAAATTTGATTTCTGTTCTCTTTAGTGTTTTGTAGACAGAGACCTAGAGAAAGGCCCTAAATAGAAGCAGCAGTAGGTGTTAATAACACTCAGTTCAATTCACAGCCTACTTGGGTGCCCAGTAGCCCTTGGGCGTGGGGAGGAGGGATCCAGGCTTGTCCAGTAATAAAACTTCCTCCCTTTAGGGGGCTCCCAGCACCACCAGGGAGCTCAGCTCCACCAAACAGCAGGGAGGACAGCCCCACCAGGAAGTGGGGGGCCCTCTGCACATGGGCCTCACTGTCAGACCACCCCAACCCAAGGCCAGGACCTTGGCTGGACCCACAGGGAGGCCTCACCTTAACTCCCCTCCTCCCCTCCACCCTCTCTCCTCCTCTTCCCTTCCCCCCCTTCTGGAGCTCCTTCCCTCTCACTCTGCTTTCCTTTCCCCTCCCCCTCCCCCACCCTCTTCCCTCTCTCCTCCCCTTGCCCTTCTTGCTCCTCCTCTTCCTCAGATGAAATAGATCAAATAACTTTTTCCACTCCAAGAATCAAAGCTTAGGGCCCTCCAAAGGCTCTTCCCTATTACCTGAAGGCTAAAAGTTCAGCCTAGGATCAATAGCTATTCATTTGCCCCCTTGGTTAGAGAGATGGGGCTATTCATGCCCAGAGGACACTGCTTTTTAGAGAATCAGAGGTATTTTAAACAAGCTGCATCATTGCTGTTACTGCTCTCCTTTGACAAATGCAAATTTGCCTGACTAGAAGCTTCTCAGGCTGCCTTGCCCTCCCCCAGCCAGAAAGCAGGCCTGGAAGATGATCACAGAAGTGTTTACGAAGGGCCAGAGTTGAAGTAAAGTTCCTCCCACCACTCTAGCAGAGGTACATTCTCTGGAGGCAGAGAAAGTTTAAGTTTCAGGGCCCCTTGCTCTGGCCCTTCTAAGGCCCTGGGAAGAGCCCCAGCACTGTGTTCCCATGGTCCTATGTTTTTGCAAGATTTGCAAAAGGAATATATTTGCAACACAGTTAGGTTCCGCTGCTGTTTCTTTCCACTACAGCTTCCCCTCCCTCATACTTCTCTGCTGAGTTGGCATTGCAGTGGCTGTGGGCATTTGGGGGGTCCAGCTCAGGGAAGCTGAATCGGGAATGTATTTAGCTCAGATTGAGTGGGATACCTTTGTGTAGGCCACAGCCACTTCTGTGGGTGGGTAAGTCACTGCTGTCCATCCCGGGGTAGGAATGGTTTACAGGAGTAACACACAAGGCTGAATTAAATATAAACCTGTCCTATGGTGCCTGGCATCAGAAGTCTGTGGATAGTGGAAGAAAAACAAGGTTTCAAATGTACTGAGCCAGAAGCGATTTTGTGGAAAATTCTTCCAATCATGAGATGTGTAAAAATGCACTTTTCATTGATGCCTCGACAAAATGGAAATTCAGGAATATATTCAGAGACAAAACACGTACACTGATAAGAACGTGTGTTACTTATGGGAATTGCATAAAATAAAATATATCAAAAATCTTGCATTTTCAGGACATTACCCTGTAGCAAGCAGTACTGCACGCATCAGGCATGTCTGTGCGTAAAGAAACATATTTTAATGCCTTCCAACTATCGATAATTTTGATCAATCCTGCTAGAGGAAAGACTACCTTATCTCTCTGTTCTCTCTAATGCAAAGTCATTATCACATAAAGAGAGTATCAAAGTATGCAGGCAAAAATTCCATAGAAAAAAGTTATTTTAGAGTTGTGTCAGACAGTAATTAAAACATTGTGTGTGTGTGTTTTTTTACTAGATTTTGAGATGTCTCTTACATTTGCCAGCTTTAAAAAATTTGTAATTTTTTTCTCCTTCTAAAGAGTCACTTTCACTCCCAATTTTGTACTTGTATTTCTGTATTATTTTCCTTAAAGCGATCCCCCCCTAAAATTGTATAATCCTCAGACCCCACAACCTGGATCCTCCCTAGAGGCAGCCTCGCTGAGCAACTAGAAAAAGGTGCAGTTTTCTCTGCCTGGAGAAACCCTGCTCCAGGCATTCCCAGGGTACTTGGTCAGTGGGTCCTTCAGGGGTAAGGCTGCCTTCCCTCCAGGATCCCTGTCTTCTGGGCTATGAAGGTCTTTTTCCTGATGACGCTGATCCCAGGGTCTTAGGGACCTAGCTCATGTTGCGAAAGACAGTGTTGAGGAACTGCTGTTAATGCTCAGTCTCTCTAGCTGTGCTGAGGCCCAGCTGTACAAGTTCTCACGTAACTATTTGAGCTTCTTTTGGTTCAGGGAAAGGTAGGATGATTTTCTGCCAAATCTTTCTTCAGATTCACATTGTAATTTGGGTCAGATGATCTGACATACAAGACTGTCGTATCCCTTCTGCTGCAGGGCATTTACCAGTTTTCTGTTTTCTTTCACAGAGTTGGTGTGGACCTGGATGAAAATCTGAAGGAGGAGCCCTCTTTACCCCAGGTAAGTCAAAGAAGCCAATGCGTAGAGTATAGAGATATGAGATGTTCTGTTCTGTGGGATGTTCCATGCTTATCCAGCATGTACCAAGGGGCTCATTCTAACGAGAGCTGCCTCTGCTGATAAAACAAATGAGATGGCAATAAAATACATAGAATTCAGGGTGTTGATGACTTTTAGCATATGAATGCTTGGAACTAGCATATACTCTCCACCTCTCTGTGGGACTTTACAATGTAGAAGCAAAACCATGATGACTCTTAGAATGAAGCATCCCATGGTTCAAATCCCTACCAAGCAACTTGCTAGCTAGGTGATCTCAAAGCACATCCAGTGCATGTTGGGCACTCAACAGTTGGACCTGTTTCTCCTGCGTGGCTTCTCATTAGTCATGTCTAGATGTACAGCAATATTGAAACTGTCAAAGGATTGCAAAACTGTCTAGATAATCCATTCCTGACTTAATGGAGCAAAATTATCTACACAGACCTGAAAATCCTTTAGGGAAATTTTCAGAACAATGTGCTATTCCCTCAAGTAGGGGAAATGTATTCTTCAAACTCTGGATTTGAACCTGACATCACAGTAGAATGTCATTTGCAATTTTGCATTAGCCATTTTAAACTCAGTACTTAACAAACAAACGTATGGAAATTTTATACTTTTTGCTGAAATTAGAAGTAGACAGACATAATAGGACAATATCATGTGGTGATGCTTAATGAATTGTGTTATGAGAATATTTATATTTGAAGAGGAACTGTCTCTCTTTTATTCTGTGGTTTTTTTTCCCTATAATGCCATCAATGAGGCACAGCCGGTTAGTGCGCCTGGGTGTGATGCTGCTTTCCCGGTTTACAGAGATAGAAAGCAGGAAAGAGCCTATGCTCTGCAGAAAAGCCTGGGAAAACAAGTTGGTTATGATCCTGGCCCTCGTGGACTTTGAATTTTTTTTGTCACCTGCATTTCAAGGCCAGGCTACGCCATTTTCACTGGCTTCACTGCCCAGGAAACACACCTGACTGCAGGACCGAGCACAGCAGGGTGCCAGGGCACTAGGATTAGGGCCAGCCTGGTGACCTTAGAAAGGAGATCAAAGCCCTTCTCCTTACACTGGTGGGCATAATGAGTCATCTGTAACATCTGGTGGTGGCTGATTTTTAAAAAGCATTTTCATCTTGTATAGGTCAAATAATCCTACCTTCAAGTAAAACTTTTATCTAAATTTTGTCCTTCTTGTATACCTTTTTCTTTAAAATAAAAAAAGAATAATAAAATTTATCGAAGAAAATTCTCTAATTGCCTAGTATTCTGTAATCACATATAGTTATTGGTAAAACTTTCTACTGGCCTAACTCTTTCCTTTTGTAATTTAAATTTCTTTTATCTCATTCATGTGACACTTTAAAACAAAGTTCACCATTGTTAATCCAGTAATAACTCTTACCTGAAAATATTACAGCAATAAAAGGTTTTGGGGGGTTTTTTTTAGAGAAATAGGATAGTATAACGTAGAACTAAAAACTATGTGATATTTAGATCTTGGACAAGTTTTTTACATTTTGAGTCTCAGTTTCTGTCTATAAATTGTGAATGATGATAATATCTACCTCTCCAGGCTATTATGACAATCAAGAGAAATTATGTTTATGAAAACTACCCAACTTAATTGAGCTAAATTCATCTCATTTATGAAAGATTTGAGGCAGCTTAAACCACCACATATAATAAAATAATAATAAAATATTTTTTAAAGAATTTTAAAATTCAGCAAAAAATACTAATAAGAGCATGTAGTCAAAACCAGAGGAGTAAAAAGAATCATGAACAAGCAGGTCATAAGGGCCTATGTAGGTGCTATAGTCAAACCGTAAGTAACCTTTCTGGTAGCCAAAGAGGGGATAAAAGGAAATAATAATCAGTAATATACTAAATTCACATCATTAGAGGGAAAAAATCATACCCTCTCCTTAAGTAGTACAAAACTTCACAGGTCACTACATTTTAAAGAAATTTCTCCCTTGGGGCCTCCTATAGAGGACACATAAAGAGCTATCCAAATGTTAAGTAACTAGCATTATAATTTACAGTGTTCCCACCAAACTGCTGCTGCCTAAAAATAATTTTAAGTGTCCTCTAATTGTTCTTATTCATGATGTTTGACTGTCAAAGTAGTTACATTTCAGAAAGAAGTTTTCTCCATATGTTGGAATAATTCTTATCTTCAGTGTCAAGTACAAGATGCAGTGGGCTCTGATGGGAGGTAACAAGCCACGGTGTCCACGTAGCTACCACTCGACCTAGACAGAGTCTTTTTGGTACTTTCCAAGCCATCTGTCAAGAAACACTCTTCCCTCATTTCGCCTAACACTTCACTTATTATCATCATCTGCTGCTCTGTTGGACTACAGAATATAACCCTAATTCTTAGGAGGATTATATGTTTTCACTTGATTTGCATTTATTAAACTGGCTTTGCATTAACAAATAGGATAAACTTTGCACTGCTCAACCTTAATAAATAAACAAACAAAAGACCCTGTTCTTACCAAAAGCTAAAAATTTCACAGGTAGTTATGGCCATTACAGATCATATACTTTCAAAATCAAAAATAAACATATGTAATTATATTTTTAAAAGAACTTCCTCTCTGTTGTAGAGAATAAAATAATCTCTGGGGACATGAACTTATGGCTATGACTAACTAGTAATATCATGGACATATTTGAAACACGGACTTCGGTGGGGGGGGGGAACCAAGGGCAACACACGTAACCCAAACGTATGTACATCCATAATTTGCTGAAATAAAAAAAAAAAAATCATGATTTTCCTTTTTGCCTTGTAATACCTTTAGAATGTGGATGGCATTACCTTCTTAAAGTTTAAATACATAACTCCATGCAAATGTGCTACTTTGAGAAATGGAAGATACTGCAGTTGTGAATTTTATGTCTCTTAAACTTGAAAAAAAAAAAAAAACCCTTCAGAAAACCTCCCACACAGTAGGAAGTGTTCCTTGTAATTGATTCCTCATCCTTGGAAGCACACCTTTGCAGAGTAGAGGAGAATGACTGGATCACCACACTAGATCTTTTAATAGAGAATTCCTGCTACTCAAGAAAGGCTGCCAGTATTGCTTCTCTTTTCCGCTTTTGCCATTTTATCGTAATCCTCCCAATATTTTTTGGGCACTAAGTATTGTTCTTAACAATTTCCTGAGCACTTTGTATGTGTTATCTCACTTAATTTTCAAGATAACCCAAAGTGGGTACCATTATTATCCCCTTATTTCCTTATCTTACAAATAAGGAAATTGTAGACAAAGAAGTTAAATAACTTTCCCAAGAGCACACTGAAGGCAGAAATAGAATTTGAGCCCAGAGAATTTGGTCCCAGAATGTCCCCTCTTAACGGGGTATGCATGCATGCATTCATTCATTCATGAAAGTGTTAATAACTATCGGCACCCACCCTTGTCGGGCACTAATCTAGATGTGGAGGATTCAGCAGTTACCAATGCAGTCTTCTCCCTCACAGAGCTTATACTCTAAATGGGGACACTGATAAGAAAAACATCAACTACATACTGTAAGTTCAAAGCAGGATCACAATAAGTCAGGTAAGGGGAGGAGAACCATGGATGGGGCTATTGGCTGGTCAGGGAAGGTCTCTCTGAGGAAGTGGCATTTGATCAGAGGCTGAATGATGTGCAGAAGCAAAGCATGTGGGATTGGGAGGGTGGGCAGGGGTTGGGGGGGTGGGCAGTATAGTCCAGGCAGAGGCTACAGCAAGGTCAAAGGCCCTGGAGTCCCAGAGGGTTATGGTGTGCCCCAAGAGCAGCATGAAGGCCAGTGTGGCCGGAGCCAATTAAGCAAGGTGAGAGTGAATGGAGCTGGGATGGGAAAAACAGACAGGCAAGGGCCAGACTATTGACCACAGTGGTAAGTTTGATTTTATGCTAATATGATGGGTACTCTCGGAGGTTTGAAGCTCGGAAGTAATAGAATTTGACCTTTTAAAAAAAATTTTTTTCTCCCAACTCCACTTTGCCAACTGTTACAGTGGGACTAATTTTCATCTTTTCTAATCTAATTTAATTTTTTAACACTATGTTTATTTCTCTATGATCTGTCTTAATGTTAACTTCTAGTTTCCTTTGGTTTTCAGTAGTCTGTTCATTGAAATTCTGTTTGTGGTTGTCCTTTGTACTTATGTATAACCTGAGTGGATCAGTTCTGGTCACTGCAGCTCAAGAAAGTGAGAGCAGAGCTGAGAAAGGTCCAGAGAAGGGCAACTTCAGTAACTGAGCAGAGGGACCTGCTGCCAGAGAACCGGGATTAAAAGGATTAGGGCTTCTCCATCAGAAAGACTAGAGCTAAGAAGGGACACAACAAAGTGTCTGTAAAAATATGAAAGGTGAACAAAGACTTGTTTGCCAACTCCCAGAAAACAGGTGTAGTATAACCTGGGAATACCTTTGAAACCTGGAAGAGATCATTGATGAAGAATAAAATGTTTGTTCTTCTGCACACTGATGCTTCTTACTCGGGGTCATCCAGAGTTGCAAGGGTTAGATACATAAGTAGGTTCAGGAGGGGAAGAGATTCATTAGCAGATAGTGGGGTCATCTAGGCCATTAAATAAAATTAATTTCTCTTTGTGAATAGTTTGAAATATTTCTAATAAACTTACAGAGAACAGAATGATGAATCCCATATGCCCATCCTCCAAATCTAACAATTATCAACATTTTTTCCTACTGGCTCATTCATTGCTCCTATACCATTAAACCTGGTCTCATAGAATGTAGATTCCATACTACATCCCCACAAATATTTCAGAAATAGAATACTAGGCTCAAAAATTGATCTGATCCAGATGAGGGATTTTCTTAATGTTATGTTGTTACAATGCCATTGTAAATAATGGTATTTTTAGAAAAATAAAATGAATATTTCAAAGCAAATATCTTGGGTTTTCCCTTGGCCAACATTGACTGTATTTTAGTCATACTTACT